TATTCATCATCATATCGACTATGGAATTATTACATTGTGAATATTATATTATATTATTGATTGTTCTAATTATGTTTATTATTATATTCGTGAATTAAATTCTACTTATTAGATACACTTTTAACTAAATATGATTAAAATGTATAAATTATGCATAATGAATTTGTATAAATATCTGCAGTCTAATTATTTCAATAATTTTGGGACGATTCAAAAATATTTAGTTCGCCAATGGAATTAATTTCATAAGAGAATCAACAATAACACAATTTCTTTATTGGGTATATTATTTCTGTCTCTGTTAATATTATCACTGGTTAATCAATTATCTCGATCAGTTACTGTCCGTTTGATTAATATTATCGAAAAATATGCATGAATTAAAAACCATAAAAAAGGTTCCTAATTTGACAAATGAAAATTGATTGCGATTGATATTTTCCAAAAAACATATTATGATTTGTTAGAATAAGATGCATTATATTAAACTTATAATTAGGAGTAAAGACATAATTTGTTTTGCAGTAGTATTCTACCATTGAAAGTCGAATATTTTTTACAGAAAAATTTCTTTTAGAAAAATACTCTTCATTCACGACAAGGTCGTGCAGAAATAAAAAAGATTTTTACAAAATAACGCAGGACGTAATCTTATTGAGAAAATTACAACAAATTTGAACAATCATTCCTTGTTAAGGCTATATCAACGATAATATAATACACGAATAGGAAATTATGGATTGTTTAAAATATTTTTATATACCACGATTCTACGATAGTATTTATATTAAAAGTACTTTAATAATTCTTTAAAATTCATTATAACAAAAGTGAAGAATTGATTGAGGTCGAGCAATCGTGTAGCATAGACGTGTTTATTGTAACAGTGTTTGTTTATGCCTATGCGGATCACGAGTTAACAGTGAATATATCCAGTGATTAAAAACCATTCCATAGAAGGAATACATCATTACATATGTAGATTCGAAACTTTCCCTGACCTAAGGGTCTAGGAAAATGACGAAGACAATTGTATACACACCACACAACAAGAGCAGTTCCCAAAAAAATAACAGGCAATAAGTATTGAAGCCATAGAAGAAATCAAAATTAAGGAATACGTTAAAGCATTCTGTACAATCATGAAACCAACAGATATCCATTTCATATCAAGAATATCCAACAATCGCATATGTCTCCATGTAGCCAATAAGGAAATAGTAAAGCAGCTCACAGAAAGTAAGAAACAGATTGAAATTCAAGACAGAATCAATCAGGCCGCTCATAATCCAATAAAAAAGAATGTATGTCCAGTGATCCACCATCAAATCCTAGAAGAACACTTGAAGAAACTAGATATGACACTAATGTCATCAATTACTTTTATTCGAGCAGGATTTGCAGATATAGGGCTACCTCATGTCCTAAGTTTTCGCCCGCAAACCTACATTAATCCTGAAGACACAAATAAACTACGAAGACACCAATCATTATTGAAAAAATATATCGACAGACTCACTTAACCGCTCTGTATGTAAAGGAACTGGACATCTTACTAAAAACTGTCCAAACTGTCAAACATTGAGAACATTACTACAGTTTAATCACCTGGTATGTAAAATCTCCACAATTCTCTCACGCCAACCCAAGTACATGACATCCGGGCACAAATGCATAAAACAACCATGGAATATGAACACCATATAAACAATGATACCTACGTAAACACTTTTACGACTAAACGCCCTCTTTCAATGACCACAACAGAGACGAACAAATCTACTAAATTTATCGAATCAGATTTTGAAAAAGAAGAAATTGATGATAGTACCAACGAACAAAACTGGAAAACATCGGATCACTAAAACATTAGAAGAAAAAAATAACCGTATCGAAATATCTCAAATAATATTGTTGCGACAGTATGAAGATGCAGCACTACAGTTCCGAGTTACATCGTCGCGACGGTGTGAAGATGTTGCGACGATGTGAAGTTGCGGAAACGAGTTCCCGCGCTTCCGGTTGCCAGGAAGCGGCAAACATTTAAAATAGAAGAAAGCGATTCGAAATCTCAAAGAGAGAAGACGTTTCACTACAAGTCTCCAAGATTATCGTTGTATAATCGTTAAATTGTTAAAAGTTATAGTTTGTTAATAAACGTTATATTTAGTTTGAATGAATTCTCGTGCTTCAACCCCCCGGCGTAACAATATGATTAAACAACTTCCAGAAATAGCATTACAATTTCTTAATAAAATATACAACATTATCTGGGCCAAGAGAATCTTTTCAAGGAAATGGAGGCTTGCCACCGTAATTCCAATACTCAAGCCACGGAAAAATCCTTCAATCCAACTAGTTACACTACTTTACAGCCAAAATGTACATTCAATGCCACAATTTATTTCATATGTATTTTGGCCTACTAAACTTGAAAATCGCAAGAAAAAATTTTGTATGAATAGGTTCTCGAGATATGAATTCTTTTTCAATTTTTTTCTGATATACCTTCACATTTTAGGCCATATCTCGAGTTAGAAACGTCCAATTGAGTCTAACAAGATACCATATTAAAGGTAATCGAATCTCCAACTATTGTTTCTCACATTGTTTTTTAACTGGTTCGGCGTTTAAGTGTTATGAGTCAAAATATATGAGAAACTTCGATATTTCGGCTAAAATAAAACACAAAAATGTCTCCCATCGCCATGCAAACATAGAAACTATCAATTTATGTCCAGTTTCTTGTTGTTTACGTATAAATCGCACTTTTACGAAGAAAACAAGCTTTTGCTGAGAAAAATCTATGGATAAATACCGGAGTTAGGAACAATTGAGTAAAGGTACAAAAATTCCAATTTTACTCTGTTCTTGTATTTTTTTCTTATTTATATAGAAAACATTTATTTAATTAATTTCGATTAGAAATAATTTCGGCCTTTACTTTGTCTTCTGTTACTCGTTGAGTTCGTTTCTCTGATGAGGAACCAAATGTAGTCTCCCAACATTCTTTCATCCCAATATCCTTGATAGCGCTGCTCAATAGTTTTTATATCTTGGTGAAACCTTTCGCCGTGTTCGTCACTTACATCGTCAAGATTCTCCGGGAAAAAATCCAAGTGAGAATGTAAAAAATGAATTTTGATCGATATATTTACGCCTGTTGAAATTAAAATTGAAATTAAATGTACAAATTTTTCCATTTTGTCAAATTAAATAGAATAACAATATATATTCCATAACCATTTTTGCATAATTTATTAGCAAATCTTCAATAACTTTCTTATAATTCATACTCTGCCGAGCCAGAAGCCCTAAACTATTGAACAGTGCTATCAAGGATATTGGGATGAAAAAATGTTGAGAGACTACATTTTGTTCCTCATCAAAAAAGCGAACCCAACGAATAACAGAAGACAAAGCAAAGGCCGAAATTATTTCTAATCGAAATAATTAAATAAATGTTTCCTGTATAAATAGGAAAAAAATACAAAAACAAAAGTAAAATTAGGATTTTTGTACCTTTACTCCATTGTTCCTAACTCTTTAACAAAAGCTTTTCTTTAACAAAAGCTTGTTTTCTTCGTAAAAATGCAATCTATACATAAACAATAAGAAATTGGACATAATTTGACAGTTTCATAAACGTTTCTTATATAAATAGAAAGAAATACAAAAACAGAGTAAAATTGGGATTTTTGTACCTTTATTCAATTGTTCCTAAGTCCGGTATTCATCCACAGATTTTGTTCAACAAAAGCTTGTTTTCTTCGTAAAAGTGCAATCTATACGTAAACAATAAGAAAGTGGAGATAATTTGACAATTTCTATTTTTAAATGGGTATGGAAGAAATATTCGTGTTCTATTTTAGCCGAAAAAATCAAAGTTTCTCGTATACATTGGCCCGTAACACTTAAACTATTGAACCGATTGGAAAATAATATAAAAAGTAATTGTTGAAAATTCGATTACCTTTAAAATGGCGTCTTGTGCGACCCAATCGGACGTTTCTAACTCGAGTAATGGCCTAAAATGTGAAGGAGTGTCAGAAAAAAATCGAAAAAAAATTCAAAAATTCATATAAAAAAAATCTATCGATAGACAAATTTTTTCTTGCGATTTTCAAGTTTAGTAGACCAAAATACATAAGAAAAAAATTGTGACATTGAATGTACATTTTTATTTTTTTATTTTGTAAACTAGTGTTATTGATTATTGAATTACATTTTGCCAAACTTTGCCTTTGGTTAAAGCAAAGCCTTTGGGTGATCAGAACAACATAACCTAACAAAATCCTGCGTATTCTTGTCAACATACTACGAATTTAAATTTAATTGACAGTTATGACTGAAATTATAATTGATAAATAATTGCACGGAGTAGTTACGAAAATTCAATTGTTAATGTCAAGTACAATTGACAATTGATTAATTTCAATTGGCAATGGATGCCAGCAGTTACGATAGATAAATTATTAATTGAATTACATTTTGTCTAACATTAATCTATCGTATACATAAGTCCAATGAAAGTTTCGTTTTAATTGTCATAGACAATGAATACTAGCAATCGTAGCAGGCCAACTGCTAATTGTCAATCATTAATCGAATTATATTTTCTCCAATACCAATCCAACGTACATGCAAGTCCAATAAAATGTTCAATACATCTAAACGATCGCTGGCATTGATCTGTTAACACTATGCTTACTGAGCACGGTCATTTTGACCCATTCCAAATTTCACAAGGTTTTAAACCATTTATATTTTATGCCAACCATTTATGTCGACTTTTGTTCACATAAAATGATAAGCATGTATTCAAATTAATTTTTGCTCAAGCCTTCTAATTAATTTTAGTAAATCGACTTCGCTTATTAAAACATTAGTTCATCACTAATAGAAATCTGATAAGAAATCTCCGTAAATCTAGTGTTAAAAGATTCGAAACAAAACTAACAGTGTATAATCGACTAATAACAGTAAGAACGTATTTCCAGGGGCAGGAAGAAGCAACAAAATGCCGATGGAATTTTTAGACCGATTCCCGATCCCGAGCCTTCGGGTCTACACGACTATCAGTTTCGGCGTCCTATCCTGTTCGGTGTTCTACGCTGCTCAAATTATCAAGGATCCTGGTTGGAAAAGTAATCACACGTACGTGGAGACCGAAACGGATACCATAGCCGGCGATGTCGAGTCCGATCCAAGGAATCTTGGAATGCATTTGAAGGAACTACTTGAATGCATGCTCGATGAGCCGATCTGCATCTGGGTAAGTGGTACATGATTGTTTGTTTCGGGCTCTGTGAAAGTATAAGGTGTAGAAATTAAATCTATGCCTTCATATTCAATTATTTATAACTAGACTGCGGATCTTTATGCATTTATAGAAAATTTGAAGGCGCAAGAAACTACAAAATGCAAACAATATACAAGAATATAAAAAAGATTGAAAATAAAGTTCATGTTATAACATTTGCAGAATAAAATAAATTCTTATTTAGGTTCAATTTTTATAGGGATGTTCGCGAATATTTTATTTTGCATAAAGATCCGCAGTCTATTTATAACTTTAGATTAAGGAGGTAGACACGGGTAATGCAGCGAGATGACATTACCGGCAAAAATGGGCGTAAAAAGAGGTCCGGGACTTTTCGTTTTTCGTCCTTATATGAGAATATTTGAGGCTTGGTGAGGGCTCATTCGAAAGAGGAAGGTACAGTATGCTTTGGTCATGATTCAACGAAATTTTGTTAATATCTACAATGCCCGAAATTTCTATAAAACCACCAATATTTTGACGAATTTTTTAAAAGTATTATTAACTTTACTACTTTTTTCTCATCTACAATTATATTTAATTGATACTGATCATAAATCTACGAGTATCTGCTCAGAAATGATTACCTTTTGGGTGTGTTTACATTTTTTGCTGTACGAAGCAAAATATAAGTCCAAAATTTCTATAAGGCCACTCAGTTTGTGCTTAGATTCTGAGTAAATAAGTCCAGCTAGGTACAATAAAGGAAGTGAAACTCCAATAAAAAAAGTAAGTATTTGCGTAAAAATTGATCTGTAAATTTATTGAAATCGTAATATATTATATTTTAATTTCTTACTAGTAAAATGCCACAAGAACAATTGTTAACCAATGAATAAAAGGCATCCACTGACGCTTATAGGGATATGGGATGTTCTAAGCGCATAATTGCAAAGAAAATTAACCTATCACACACCGTTGTAAATAATTACGTAAATTTAGGAAAAAATTATGGTAAAAACCATTCCAAAGGGGGAAATCAAAAGCTAACCAAGAGACAGCATTCATTTTTAATGTGACCTGCATCAAGAGAATTGAAAAGTGCAGCACAACTTCGCGTTGAATTAAATTTGCCAGTAACTACAAGACGCGTACAACAAATTTAAAAAAATTCCAAACGATTCCACTGGACAATAATGGTGCAGAACCAGCACTCAAAGCTGAACACAAACAAGCTCGTCTTGATTTTGCAAAAACACACATGTCCTGGTCCAAAGAGTGGGAATTTGTTATTTTTTCTGATGAAAAGAAATTCAATTTATATGGACCAGATGGTTTTAAATATTACTGGCATGATTTAAGGAAAGAAAAAGATATAATAATGAGTTGCAACTTTGGTGGTGGTACATTAATGATCTGGGTTGCATTTAAAGCTGACGCCAAGACACCAATCTGTCGCATTACTCGTAAAATAAATTCTGAAAAATATACAGAATTATTAGACAAAATTTTAATACCATTTATTGAAGATATTGGACACGATATGTAGTGTTCGCGCCTCCCATACCCAACAATAAGGAGTCAAATAAGAACACGAAACGTAGGGTACGGGATTGGTCGCGTAGGTAAAGCGGTCGACTGTGGATCCGAGGATCGTGGGTTCGAATCCCCGTGCCTTATTTTTCGGTTAGACTTCTACAGATAACTTCATTTATCAACACGATAACGCTGCCATCCATACATCAAATTACACAAAGCAGTGGTTAGCTGAAAAAAATATCAGGATTTTGACATGGCCAGCTTGTTCCCCAGAATGAAACCCAATAGAAAATCTTTGGGGGATACTCGCGAGAAAAGTTTATGGCAATTATAAGCAATACAGTACTGTTAATGAATTATGGAAAGCGGTGAACGAACCATGAACATCTATTCAAGAAGACACACTACAGAGTTTGATTTCGTCAATGCCCCATCGTATTTTCGAAGTTATTCGAAGAAATGGCAGTTCTACTAATTATTAATGAAGAAATAAAAAATATTTTACTGTTAATTTTGAACCTACTTATTTAAAAAATATGTGGCTTTATAGAAATTTCGCAGTTTATTTTATATAAAATTATATATTTACGTTTATTTCTTTAAATAAATATTATTTCTATTATTTCAATCTATACAGGGTGTCTCATTATAATCTTCCCACGCGATTATCTCGCAAAATATTCATCATTCGAAAAAAATGTTTAAACGAAACATGCTCTATCTGAAGGGGGACATTCAATGGTATACACTGTTTTTTTCTAGGTGGAGGCGCCTCCAAGATTTGAAGGTCACCTTTGTTTTTGAAATGTCATTCAAGGTCATTTCCATGGTGTAAAGTTTTCTTCTTCACTGCACGTCCAGCGTATCACGATCTACGGTGTCAAGAATCCTTCGACGACATCATTTCACCCGTATCACATTTCTTTACATCAAGCATTACGTGATACCGATTATTGTGCCAGATTGAGATTTTGTCAATGGTCTCAGCGTAGGATAATGCGTGATCCTTTTTCTCCTATCTGGTATTTTCGGATGAAGCAACTTTCAAAAACACAGGAGAAGTGAATCGTCAAAATTTCTACTATTGGTGTGATGAAAACCCTCACTGGCATCGAGCAATTGAGCATCAGCGTCAATGGTCTCTAAATGTTTGGTGTGGCATTATTGGTGGCTATTTAGTGGATCTATATTTTTTTAACGGTACACTAACTGGAGAACGATACAATAATTTTCTTCGTATTGAGTTGGAAATCCTTTTAGAAGACACTTCACTGGGCACCAGAAGATGAAAACTTTAAGCCATGGAAATAACCTTGAATGACATTTCAAGGTCAACAAAATATGGGTCAATGAATTCGTTTTGAGATAAGCTATGTGTCTAGTGTGAAAAAACTACGTTTCCATTAAAAAAAACAAAGATGACCTTCAAATCTCGGCAGTGCCTGCACCTAGAAAAAAACAATGTACACCATTGAATGACCCCCTTCGGATAGAGTATGTTTCGTTTACACATTTTTTTCGCGTGATAAATATTTTGCGAGATAATCGCATGTAAAGATTATAATGAGACACACTGTATATACGTGTTTTTAATACGCCTAAAATGAAATCATACTCAAATTTATCATAAGTACAGAATAATTATAAGATATTACCAAAAAACGTAATGGCTTTATGGAAATTTCGGGCACTGTAGTAATATGAGTGTCTGAAGGAGTGTTTAAAGTTTCAGCTGCAATAGGCTATCTCCGAAACTATCATGGATAGAAGAAAACTTTTTAAGAAAATGTTTCATGGTTTTCTATCTGTATATAAAATCATACCCCAAATTTTGTAAAAAATAATTAGTTTATAATAAAGAATTTGTTTATGACATTATTTTAAAAGTAATCACATTTTATATAACAACTAAGAAGAACATACATTTTTTTCTGAATCTATTGATGTATCGTATACCATGTTTGGTTCTTATATTTTTGCGCATTTTAATATTATACGTACACCCTCGCTCATAAATATGTGGACACGTACTACTTTCAATGAATAACTAATATACACCGTAAATTATTACTATACAACTTTTGTTGCTAAATTCTATGTTGGATGTGTATTTAACAACATTTAATAATATTAAATGTTTTGACTGCTATATTTAATGTTATAGTGGAATTGTGGGATCGTTTCGATAGAAAGTTCCGGAAGAATGTTCATTGTATCAAACACATTTATGGCGAAATATTACAAAATAAATGAGATAATATTACTTCGGATACAATGAAGAAATTAATAGTATCTAAATTTGGTAAAAAAAAATGTTAAAAGCTTTATAGCTTTAAAGCTTTAAGCTCTAAAGCTTTTTATCATTACTAATGTGATATTAAAAAAAAAACATTAATAAAATATATTCGCTAATATAACATAAACATATCGAAAGATAAATGACATAATTGGTATTAATAGATTCGCAACTTTTATTAGATATTTACTGTCCACATACTTCTGAGCGGGGGTGTATTATATGCATCGCGCAGATACGCCGGGTCGCGGTCATACCAGATATGGTCATTATCTTTGTTGTAGCTATTGTTTTTCGTAAACAACATACATATATAGCTACGTACATGTGATACATCAATAGATTCAGAAAAAAAATATGTTCATATTTGTTATTATATGAACTGCGATTACTTTTAAAATAATGTTAGAAACAAATTCTTTATTATAAAGATGTTACGAGCTAGGGCGATAGCGACGCGCGTGTGTGGCTCTGCGAGTGGGGTGTATTCGAGAATTGCACCGATACGATTAATTAGTATGTATCAATGGAGCCGAAGATTTGAGGATAGAGTAGATAATGCAGACGACTCTGACGCGAAGTCAGATAGTTGCAGGAATCGGTATCTCCCAGTGAAGGGTAACCGTAGGTTAAGGTGTTTGATTTTCTTGGTTATTGGAGACAAACGCAGACGCCTCTGACGCGAAGTCAGGTAGATGCTAGGAATTGGTATCTCCCAGTGAAGGGTAACCGCAGGATAGGTTAAGTTTAGGAGTTCGGTTTGAGTACACAATGACTAAATCGTATCGTTAAAATGTGACACGCGTCGTTAATAAAACCTCGCAACTTGTTAATTTAATAGAATAATAACTCGAGCGGTAAAGTTATTATGTTCAGGGATCGTTACACTGACTAGGTTTGGTGATTTCAAAGTAAAGGTTTGATGATTGATTTTACAGACTTTTAAGTTTACACAAAGAGTATATATTCAAAATAACTGTACTAATTACAAGTATCCAGTGTCGTGTTGTCGCGATTAGTGTATGAAGTTAAAATTACCTAAGTGCTGCGCGGTGTTGACGCACTGGCGATGCGAGGGTTGAGAGTACTTTTATGGCCGTAATAGATTTTAAAACCGTCTTCGCGGATCTATATGGTAACGATGATCGAAAGGAGCTGAACCCCGATCTCACTAGAGTACTACTCTGCAGACGATCAATGTGTCTCTAACGAGTAACTCTTTCGTACTAGCCCCCGAGCAACGAAAATCGTGGGTTTATATACCCCTAAATGTTGGTGGGGAACCGTCAGTGATTTCCATATTAGGAAATTTGACGGTTAGGATTTTCGTTGCTCTGAGGTCGGCAGCTGTGTGCCCTGGGTAAAGGGTAGATTAGAAAGTATCCTACGCAACACGAGTCAAAGATGATATTAAGAGGATGCAGCTGCAGGATGCACTCCAGTGAGACCGAGCTCCAAATTCCAGAAGGGTAGACAAAATAAGATTAATGAACGCGAGCTTCTAAAAACGGAGAGTTTCTGTATACGTAACAAAGAAATTATTTTTTTTACAAAATTTTGGGTCCGATTTTATATGCAGATAGAAAATCATGAAACTTTTTCTTAAAAAGATTTCTTCTATCTATAATAGTTTCGGAGATAGCCTATTGTAGCTGAAATTTCATATCATTTCACACCCTAAATATGAAAACGGGACAGAATAAAAAGTAGGTATATCTTATTTTTCGGCCCTTCAAAACATATCCAAAAATCAAAACAATCGGAGGCAGACACCTAAAAAACATTCCTTATCAGTCTCTCTTTCTTCTTCATCAAACTGTCTTTTTCTACTTCGTCGATGCTTTGAAACTCTGAACGGATTCGAAGCTGAACGGACTTGAAATATTTGGTTATACGTATAATGTATACCCAACCGAGGTGTCGATTTTGTTTACACGCCGAGCGCCAACGTAGAAAGGGACAGACAGTAGAGGAGAGAGAGCGAGGTCCAAAGACACAAGGCGCAGAGCCGAAACGTATCGGAGAGACAATACGTATCTCACTTTCGGTGGCTAGGTCTTCCTTTTCACATTCTGGACAGAATACAGAAATAGCAGAAAGCGCCATCTCGTTTTCATCGGGCAGCCGTGTATCTATGTGTTGGGATTTCAATAAAGCGATTTGGATAGCTAAGTGCACTTATCATTTTATTATTGAACACAAAACTAAATACGTATACATGAATAACATATTATTAACACATAAAGATAAGAACTGTAAAGAAAATTCTGTTGTTATTACAAGACAGAAGAAACACGTGTGTCGTAGATAATAGAAAACCGGTTGGCGCTGCTGTCGGCAATCGTGAGCCAATTTTGAATAAGCAGAGTTCGCCTGGTATTGACCGATTTCAGTACTATGGTTATTACCATTTCTATGCGCAACAATCTGCTGTAATACCGACCGGCCGAAATAGGAGAGGTCATGTACCGTGTCTACCACCAGTGTCTACCAAACAGAACTGAATTTCGAGCACTGGAAGTGGTAAACACATTATTTTGAAAACAATTCTATTTTTTTTCGCAAAATTCCTTTCTTTCTCACAAGAAAAAAGTTTGACGATACAAAAAACCTAAAAAAGCGCGATAAAACTGTTATATAA